GATCAAGGTATGCAAATGTTACATAAACTCACTGTATCATCTTCTTGGGCAAATTCACTGTATCATTTTTTTTATACAAAATATACATAGAGTACATAAAAATGACGAAAAGAACAATTGTTGTAATTTTATTTTCTGCTTTAAGAAGCAGCAAAGCACCAAATTCTTTCTAAATATTGTGATAGAAAAAAAAAATGTTTCTTGCAAAGGTATAAGCCCAGATGTGATTTATAAGTTGAGATGACCTGCTTATTAATTTTACATTTTAAGGACTATATTCAAATCATTTCTGCAGTTCCAGGAGGACTTTTGCTGAGTGCACTGCATTATCTATAATTTAGCTCAGTTACATGTGTTTTATATCCTTTTGTTTTGGGGGGATTTGATTTATGAAGCCTCAGTTACATACAAATAATGATTTGTGCCATAAAACTTCTCTAACATTTAATAAGATATTGAAACTATAAGAATAACATAAAATGATGAAAATATTTCCAAAATAAAAAGCAGACCTAAAACAGCTATGGAGATAGCTCTCATAGATACAAACCAGTGAAGGTTAAATTTAATTGAATGGAACAAAATATTGATATTTATTTTGGCCTACAGGAGGTACCTTAAAAATGAAGTTTGCAGGGCAGTCCATAAATTCACAGCTCCACCCTTCATGTCACCGCTCCCCTCCCTACCTGCTTTCACGCTGTCCTGTAAAATTGCTCCCAGACATAGGTGATCATCATGTTCTCTTGGTAAAAGCTTCGCCATAGTTTTCTGCCCCTTAGAGATTCAGGTCTACCCTTCTGAGCTCTGCTTTGACATCCCTTTTTCACCTAGAATCGAACAACTAAGCAAGCTGCCTTTCTTAAAGTCTGAGGTTTGCAGACTGCCTATAGACCCTGGAGTTATGTCCCCCACATCAGTGTAGGAGTGTGTGCTGATCTTTCTGGCCTCAAGGAGCTCCCAAAGCGTTGACTGGTGAAGCCCCTTCTCTGGCTGACCCCAGCCTCACCTGGTTCTTGAAAGCGTTTGTGACCACACTGGCTGAATAAGCCACCCCTTCGCCAGTGTTTCCTTCTGTACTATCCTGCGTGCCAAGTCGCTTCTTCACGCCCAGCTCTTTGTGATCCCTGCACTGTAGCCCACCAGGCTCCTCTCTCCATGGGATTCTCTAGGCAAGAGTACTGGAGCGGGCTGCCATTTCCTCCTCTGGGGGACCATCCTGACCCTGATCAAATCACATCTATTTGTCTCCTGCACTGGCAGGGCGGTTCTTTACTACTAGCGCCAGCCGGGAAGCCCATCCTATACTATCCTAATCATAAAACCAGGACTCACTGTGAGAGGAAGGGTAACAGGCAGGAAGGCCAGGGGTCTCCAAATGGAGGAAATAGGCTGAAAGTGCCAGACATTTTTCTCTCTCTTAAGCGGCAGGAGGAAACCAATTAGAGATTTTTTTTTCCTTCTCTACAAATTTAAAAGGTTTCTCTTAAAATGCTCTCTTGCCATGACACCTGGTTTCTTTTCACCTGAAGCCAACTATTCTCAAACCTTGAGTTAACCAATACATTTTTTCTTATGGAAATGTGTGTCTTAAGCTATGTTAATGTGTCCCAGACTCTGTCTTCAATTCACCAAATGGCTCAGAACCTACTTGACAAACCAGTATGTCATACTCAGATATCGTTCCCCTAATCTATGTAAACGAAACTATTTGTGTGGTAATCTGCCCTTCTACAAGACTCAAGTCAATTGTTTTATGGCCTGGGATGAATTATCTGGTGCCATTCTGAGTTTTAAGACATTCCTTTCTTTTCATTAACAGATTGTGAGTGGCTATATAACATCCAGCTGCAGACAAGCAGGGGGGTACTCTGCCCCCTTCTGATGCCTATGTCAGAAGCTTTCTCTATCTCCTTTATACTTTATTTTTTTTTCTATCTCCTTTACACTTTAATAAAACTTTATTACACAAAATCTCTGAGTGATCCAGCCTCGTCTCTGGCCCCGGATTGAATTCGCCTCCGGAGGCCAAGAATCCTGGCATTTTATCATTCAGCAACAACCTTTCAACTGCATGGGTGTAACTGTCTTCCAAGGGATTAGAAGGTTAAGAGGTTGCTATGTTTATTTTTGGTTTCCTGGTCCCTTCTTGGCACACAGCAGGCACTTAGAAAATGCCCATGGATGAAACTGCTGAAAGGCAGGAACAGCATACAAAGCAACTTCTTTCATGTAAATAAAGATCTTGGTTTTGTTGAAAGAATTAAGAATGTCAATATAACCTCACATACTAAAATCTAGATGCTTCCATCATGATATAAATATTTAAAACATTTTTTGTGTATTTTTCCAACACTGGTTCTAAGCAAATGGTAATAGTAGAAATTTCTTGAAACCGTTCATCTGCTGAGTCTTTATTTGATAAATTCATTTTAACCCTTTCCCAGAGCTGTTTTCTTCCCCTGTTAGTCCAACCTGCTCATTAATGTAGAATGATTCATAAACATATTTAAATAAGAGATAAAAACTCATATTTCTTTCTATAAGAAGGGAAATGTAATGGAGCAGGACCCTATAGGGTCCTTCCCAGAACAGACCCTCATCCATGTTGGCCACTGGCCTTTTGTCTGTAGAAAAACTTTAGTCAAAGAATAAATTTAATTAGAGAAGTAAGAAGATGCAGAAAGAAAGGAAAACAGTCATGCAAGACAAAATAATACTTTAGCCAGTAAACAAAGTCAAGGACCTTTAGTTCCTCCTCAAGGGCTATAGATAATATCCTGAGCCATGTCCTCTGAGCTGTTTTGCAGAAATTGAAACTCCCACCAGTGGGAGAAGTTAACTGTATGCAGCCCACAAGCATGTAGACCCCAGACCAGTTGGAACCAGAAGGTTGATAATGCTGACTCCAGATCACCTCACCACCAACCAATCAGAGGATGTCCATGAGCTGATCACACCCTGCTCCTTCAGCACTCTAAGACCCCTCACTACCCCTCTTCAGGATGGGACACAGTCTTCAGGGCATTAGCCCATTGTGGCCCCCTTTGCCTGGTAAAGCAATAAAGCTATTTCTTTATGCTCCACCCAAAACTCTGTCTCTGCATTTCTATTTGGCACCAGTGAACAGAGGCTGAGTTTTGGCAACAGAAGGAGCTTAATGAATTAAGAGGGAAGTGAAACAGTCACCACATTTTGATAGACCTTACTTTGTCACTCGCATGATAAACACTGAAAAGTGGGGAAAACCCTAAACCCGGTTTCATGTGGGCTAAGAAAAGCCACTCAGCCTACATGAAACTCTTTCTGAATCAGATGTCCTCCTTTTTGCTTCCTATGAGGTGGTCAGTCCTGGCTTGAAGCAGAAGCAGCACTGGTCAAGCCTCTGTGTTTGTGAACTTGGCCCAGATGACCCACAAAGGGGAACCGTGAGCCTTCACTAGGCTGGTTTCTTCATCTGACTTTTATCAAAGGAAGCTGAATGTTCATATATCAGTATCCTTCATCCTTAAATCAAACATCATGAATATATAGTCACATTACTATATAATTTATAGAGAATATTAATTGATGGAGATAAACCGATCTTTATTAACTATATGTCTACAATTGGTTCTGAAGCACTTCCTTCCACGATCCTGATTAGGAACAAAGACACTCTTTACAAGTCAAGGATGTTAAGAAAGGAAAACTACCTGTAATAGTTGCATATAACTGGCATAGAAAAATGAGGTAGAAAGGGTCAGAAATGCCCACAGTTTTAGCTTCGGATGAGCTATATTTCTTCCAGTAGGGCAGGAGGTTTCTGAAGGATCATAGAATTTAAGAGGTTATAAAATGGATGTCTCAAAAGTGGGGTGTAGAGAACTGTAAATTTGGCTTATGGTGGAGCCTATCCAGAGAAATCATGTCAAAAGATCATTATTTCATGACCTTGAGGAAAAGCAAAATTGTTGGAGGGTTTCCTATTCCTGTCCATGAATGCACACTGATATTTATGGAGGCCAGCTCTCTTTAGCTCCCTTTATGCATGCACATTCACACAAACACACACACCCTTCTCAAGACTGGAGGCTAAGAGTATTGTTATAAATATTCATGAGAACTTTATTATTAATGTCACTAAAGTGATCCTGTGTCTTCTCAGTTGAGACTGGTACTAGAAACTGATCAACTGTCAGAGAAGTGTCAGCTTTGAGGCAGCCCAGCTAAAGCAACTCTGTACATTTCACTTCTGAAATACAGACTATTTGACTAGGTATCTTAAACCACATACATCCCACCATTAAGTTAAACTGGCAGAGATTTCTCACTTTCTACAATGTACAATATCCTTGGGAACACCGTTCCCAGAGATTAGAATAAGCACACCTTAATTATTACATTCTCTTTTCTAAGAGCAAAAACTAAATGGAACATCTAAAACATCTCAAGAGATTTCTGGGTGATGAGTTTTGAAAAAAACACATTGGAAGATAATTACAGCACATTTGCTACTTTTATTATTTAAAAAAGACATTTCACACCACAGGCCTTATTAAAGAGCTATTTTTAAGACTTACAAGCTCTAGCAGTCACATTGAACATTTTTAAAAAATAAAAATAGATACCAGAGACACTTACTGTGATGCCTATGTATTTGTCATAGGCTCTCCCAAACAGTTGGTCTGCCTGGTTATTCTATATGCATGATATGTCACAACACTTGCTTTCAATCAAAGAAAACTATATTTGGTTGCGATGACAACATTTATTTATGTATTTTTTGCCTAAGATCTAAGAAAACATGTTAAATAAGTCAAATACTAGGGGAGGTACAGGGCAGAGGAAGATGAATATGCCTCTTCAGTACCACATTAGAAATGACTTTTGCTAGCTTCTTGCCCTCTATTGCCATAAGAATATCCCAGAACATTCTGCTCCTTAGCAAAACAGCAATAAAGTTACAGAAACAAAAAGCACCTGAGGACAGAAGGAAGTGACAATGACACGGGACTCACCTTAGGCATCCAGTGGCATTTCGCAGCACTTGTGAGGAATGCAGCTGTATCTTCCGATCGTCCTGAAGAGGTGAGTTTTCCCAGCCTGAGTGTGGGATAATCACCGCGTTGGTCAACACTGCCAGGGTGTCCTGGATGATTGGCATTTTGAGTGCATCGCAAGATGAGAGATTCCAAAGAACTCCTGCAAGATACACACAAACAGAGCTTTTGGATGGCCACCGTTTTCCTTAATCGAGTTAACAGCACAAGCAGGAGGGACTAAGATAGTGTAAACACATGTTCTAGAGTGTGCCCTTCGCTTTAAAGCATTTGTGTGAACCCCTTACAAAAGTGCTGTGAAAATCTAACATGTAGGCAGAGGAACTGTAACATGACTATACCCATTCCATCGTGGAGAGTAATTTAGGGTGAGAGCACCAATGGAACCGAGGCTATCAACCCTGCTTCCATGCACAATTAGTCCAATGAATCCAAGTCCCCAGATTCTAACCAAGACCAAAAAGGTCCCAGAGTGAGCTGAAACGGAATAGTAAGGCATCTGAAACAGACAAGGAAGACATCTTTGTTTTATTCAAGATCCCAACATGCACCTGCGGTCTATTGGAGTCACTTAGTTTCCTGTAGAATCAGCCTTCATTGTGCAGGACTTTTCAAGGATCCAGTGTAGGGTCTGGTGCTCACAGGCTCAACAAGAAATTAAAATTTGCTGTCACTGGTTCTGTTAGCTTTTCTCTTAAAACAATGCTCATGGAGGACCTACAGATCATTCTTTCTTATGTAACAGCAAAGAGAGCAGTAGAAATGGAAGAGTGTGTCAATAATAGCTTAAAATGGAATTTTAGGAAAGGTCTAAGAATTACATACACATTATAATATCATTTGAAATGCTTTTAAAATAATTGCTCTTTTTGTTGTTCAAAATTGTACACAGAAAAGTAAAAAAAAAAAAAAAAAAAGCGTAATATTCTCTTTTCCTGTGAAAGATTGCATTTCCCCCAAGGCTAATTTAAATAGCTATCATCACTGCAGATACTGAGAATAAAATATCATAACTGTCTTTAGAAACACAACTTATAGTTTACTTATTTAGTAACTTTTCAATCGATTTTAAAATGATATTGTGCTTCATCTATCATGTTATTAATAAACAGAATTCACTTATTTCTTAAATTTGTTTTATTAGTTTCTTGCTTTGCTCATACTGAACTATCCAAAGGCATTAATAATACTAACCTGAAAGTCAATGATATCTGATTAATAACTAAAATAATACTTTTAAATCAGTTCTACAAAAATGTGACTTTAGAAACAAACGTTTCCACTGGTCTTTCAAAAGAACATTTTCTGGTAATTTTATTTAGGTAAATGCAAGAGAAACAAAATGCTTTCGGCGCTTTGAATGTACAAATGAATTGTTAGTACAGGGGGTTGGCTTGAGGGTGAATCCTGTCTGCCTGTTTTTGTAAATAAAGTTTTATTGGAACACAGCTCTGTCTGCTCATTTACATATTGTCTATGGCTGCTTGTGTCCTAAAAGGGAAAAGCTGAGATTTTGGGACCAAGATACTAAGGCTCCCAAGCCTAAACAAATTACTATTTGTCCTTTCCTACTCACCTCTGTGGTTAGTATATGGGCCATTTTCTATATATTTCTGTGTGCATGTTTGCACTGCCATTAGCATCCTATATAAAAATGTTTATTGGTGCACAGAAGTTGCTCTAAATATATTCTGACTTGAACAGATGTGAAATGCTAGGAGCATTATCATGTACATTTATTTTGACTTAAATAATATATGAAGCTGCTTTTTAATTCATTCCATTAGGAAGCATTTTACTGAATTTTGGATGATCAAAATAATCAAGATGAATACTTTCATTCATTCAAAGTCTCACAACAATATTATTTTTTCTAGTAAAATAAATACTTTTTTAAAAAAGCACATTTAAATGAAATTACTATCTACCCCCAAGTTTGAGGATAACTTTAAAAAATATCACATTAAAGGGTTTGCATATTTTTTAACTGAAGTATAGTTGATTTACAATGTTGCATAAGTTCTAGATGTACTGCAAAGTCATTCATACACACACACATTTATATACATATATATACATTTTTTCAGACTATTTTCCATTATAGGCTATTCTGTTTTTCTAAGTATACAACACACATATATAGACACTAAACACTGAATTTTTCCACTACTAAATGCTGATTTGAAAGTACCAATAGATGAAAATTGAGGCTTGTAAATGTTTTAAAACATAGGTTCTATATTTTACTATAAAATACATCTCCTCTAAAGACCAAACAGTAAAAGACTTTTCCATTTAAAAGGCTCTAAAGACATTCTATAATAATAAAGAAATTTTTACTGCTTCCTAACAAACAGAAAAGAGGTAGGAAAGGAAAGGAGCAAATCAAAGATGAGGTGAAGGCCTCACGTACTATCTGATAAGAAGTGAAACATGGGAAAAAAAGAGACATTTCAGGCAACTCTTCATCTGGCTGTTCTGCCTCACCTTTCTTATTCATTCATTCATCAGTGTAACCTAATTCCGAATCAGGCACAGACAGAAGTTTCCTGCTCACGTCCCTCCGCCTTTCCACACAGGCTCCATCTGTGTTTCACAGGCTGATCAACTTAGCACAGTACTTGACCCAGATCTCTAAATGCTGTCTCCTGGTTTCTATCCTCAGCCCACACAGGCTCCCTGGACTCTGAGAAACACAGGTATCTCTGGTCAGGAACACATTTTACCACGTCTGCGTGGATGAGGACTTGGTAAAGTGGATGCAACACTGCAGATTTCTTTTGGGGGAAATTCAGCAAACCAGTTAGCGGCAGGGGGCCCTCCAAACTTGGAGTCTGGGTTATTTCATGTGGACAGAGAGGCACGAGTGTAGAAGCAGTCTGTGGGGACACAAGGTAAAGCGAGGTGTGACTGGCCAGAGTCAAGAGTGGAAACAGCTGGGACTCTACACCTGTCTTGCCAGACACCCACACACACTAACTCACATGCACACACACGTCCACACACAGTACACACATACATTCACATATACTCACAGACACATCCACTCATACCTACACACACCCACATACAGCATACTTACATATTTAGTCACACCTACATACCTACACTGCACACATACATTCACATATACGCACACCTACACACATTCACATACGCACACAATATACTTACACGCACACAATGCACATGGACATTCACATATACTCAAATACACACATCTACACACATTCACACATATATTCACAAATACTCACATAGATACATACACACATGCTCACACCTACACACACATACACGCACTCATGCAATATATTTATACATACAGACTCACACACATACATTTATAAACACTCGTACCTACACATATACACACATTCACATGTATTCACACACACACATAATATACATACACACTCTCATATATACACATTCACATATACACATACACACAGAAACTCACACCTATACATATACACACATTCACAAGTATTCACACACATACACACTCACACAATATACTTATACATACACACACACACACAGCCATTAGTCCCTGGTGAAGGGAGACAGATTGGTGGAGAAAAACATGGACGTATCTAAGCATTCTCCATGAACAAATGGGAAATAGGTGTTTTGCTCAAATTTCTCTTCACTCCTTCCCCTCTCTCTTCCAGGGCGGTTTCCTGATGTTCCCTTCACATGGAGGGGCCTCATCCTTCCCCCCTCGAGTGAGGTCTGGACTAAGTGCCTTGTTTCTGACCCACAGATCACAGAAGAGATGACAGAGTGACCTCTGAGGTGAGGTCACAAAAGGCACTGGGGCTTCGGCCCAGCTCCGTCTCAGGTAGCTTATTTGAGGGGGCCCTATCGTCACCTGTGAGGACCCTCAAGCGCCATGAAGATGGCCACGTAGAGACGAATGGAGTTATCCGGCCAGCAGGGACCCCTCTAGGAAGTGGACCCTCGACTCCAGCCTACAGATGATGCAGCCTCATCCATGTGGGACCCTAAGCCAGAGACATACAGACCTGCCACTCCTGGGTTCCTGCCACTCAGACACCGTGTGGGGCAAACAACTGTTGTTTCAAATTGCTAAACTAGGGGTAAATCATGATGCCAACAAAGGTTCATCTAGTCAAAGCTACGGTTTTTCCAGCAGTCATATATGGATGTGAGAGTTGGACTATAAAGAAAGCTGAGTGCCGAAGAATAGATGCTTTTGAACTGTGGTGTTGAAGAAGACTCTTGAGAGTTCCTTGGACTGCAAGGAGATCCAACCAGTCCATCCTAAAGGAAATCAGTCCTGAATATTCGTTGGAAGGACTGATGCTGAAGCTGAAACTCCAATACTTTGGCCACCTGATGCAAAGAACTGACTCACTGGAAAAGATCCTGATGCTGGGAAAGATTGAAGGTGGGAGAAGAAGGGGACGACAGAGGATGAGATGGTTGGATGGCATCACCGACTCGATGGACATGAGTTTGAGCAAGCTCCGGGAGGTGGTGATGGACAGGGAGGCCTGGCGTGCTGCAGTCCATGGGGTCGCAAAGAGTTGGACACGACTGAGCGACTGAACTGAACTAAGTCATTATGCAGCACTGGTAACTAATGTCCCTTCCTTTCACTTCCCTCTCCTTCTCCTCTGTCCACTGGACTCACTCTTTCCCTTCACATCATTTTTCCCTCATTACACTTCTCATTCTGACTTAACATTCACTCGTTTTCTCATTCCCCACAACTCCTCTGACCTCTTCTAAAGTCTATTGTGAGAGGGCAGAAGATACAGGAAGGGGATTTAAACTTTGTAACTAAATTTAAAATGCATTTTAATTTGGGTAACAAGTAATATTCAACTTTTAAGAATGTATCCCTCTTCATGTCTGGGACTACGAAATAGCCGAACACTGTCTCTAATTTGGAATAAGGCTGTATTAGTTTCCTGCTGCTGCTGTAACAAGTGACTGCAAAGGCAGCACTTAGAAAAAGGCACATGTATGGTCTTACAGTTCTGGAGGTCTGAAGTCTACAATGGGCCAATGGAACACAGCAGGCAGTGCTCCTTATGTAGGCTCTAGGGGAGAATTTCCTTGCCTTTTTATGCTTCTAAAGGCTGCCTGGGTTCCACGGTTGAAGGCCGC